GCATATATATATGTACGTAATTTTTTTCACCAAATGTGTGGTACGAAATGGTATGAAGAACACTTTATTGGAGTCCTTCCCCACGTATCGTCTCCCAATTCACTTCCTCACCGTGGAGGATATGTAGCGTATCCCTCCTTCCCACCAACTGATCAATCATGACATTGCATGGCCAGCCTCATACATATCGTTGAACCGATCCAATGTGAGCAAATAATGGTCGACAATTTTTTCTATCTTCCTTTTGTCTTCGCTCCGTAGCTCCTTCGTTTCGTAATAATATTTAATCCTCTTAATGTTATTCACAAATATGTGGTAATATATGCCATAATTTTTAAAGTACGTAAATAGTTTGAGCATTACAATTGGGGAAAATAAATTAAAGTTGTTAATTGCAAGGGAGTATTGAATGATTTTGTTCAGCCGTGTGCATTCAAATAGTATGTCTTCCAGTATATCTTTCCTCACTTTGGTGTCTTTATCGATTTGGTTAAATATTTCCAATTCGCGTTGATACACCTGTTCATTATCATTATACGATTTCAGCGTTTCCATCATTTGGGGGTTTTCAAAAAAGTCTATGTACTTCATTACATGCATCTTGAAGAAGGTGTGAAAGTCGTTTCTGCTTTCGTAAATGAATGAACAGATTTCTTTGTTCTTAACATCTGAGGTGAAGATTTCCACATTTTTTATATAATTGTGGGATGCTAAGCAGGCCTTTAAAAGTAGGGCAATATTTAGGGGCGTACTTTTATCCCTATCCACATCGAAGATGGTCAAGTGGGATAGGGTATAAATGTATTGTTGCAAAATGTGTTCATCCCTTTCGTCGTTATGGGTTGTGATGGGTACCTCATCACCTTTTGAAGAGATTTGTTGTGCGTTTCGATTCGCATGCAGGGGCTGATTGGAGAAATATTCTGCGTTTTTCGTTGGTCTTTTACATATTGGTACCCTCCTTTTGTAATTTATATTCACTCCGTTGAGTAGATCCACGAAAAGCATTTTCTTACAAAGGGACACTGCAAAGGACAGCACCGACCATGCGAGAACGATGTTACATGGGAGATTCGTCCGCATGGTTTCAGTTCGGAGAGGATTGGTTATTTAAATGTTTGTCGAGTACAGACGTTTTATTGCAACGTTGTTCTGGGAATAGTTGTTACAATGGTGACTGCACTGAACAACACGATCTGGCTGAACCAAGCGTTTTTTTTTTTTTTTTAAAGAGAGCAGATATTCTCTCCATACCGTATAGCAATGTTCGCACACATTCGGCCTCTGAGTCGGAGGCCTGATGGCGGTGCTTTCCTCCTTTTGGTTTTGCATTTGTTTCAACAGGTCTTGCATAGCTTGGGCTTGGTCCCACCTGCAAAAAAGAAGAAGAGTGCATGATCAGCAGGGCGCGCGTAAAAATAACACAACAGGGGTGTGTGCGCATGAATGGAAGCAACTCTTTTTTAACGCTCTTCTCTATAAAAATAGGGGACGAAATGGCTAGCTGTTTGCACATATAGAGGTGTCTGTTACTTACCTATTTTCTGCCTTGGGGGGATTTTGCAAAAACTGCTCATATTCCGAAATGGTAAAATCGCACCTCCGGAAGTCCTCATTATCATACGTCTTTGAGAGGAAGGCATCTCCAAAAATTTCTGTGCTGCATATTCTTGAGGCTCTACTATTGTAGGGTAATTTTTTTATACGTCCAATATCATCAATGTAGCAATTCACAGCAAAGAAATTTGTTTTTTCGTTTGGAATTGTCAAGGGTATTATTTGATACGTCTGTGATGATTCTACTGCGTTGTTGATGAGGTCTGGTGTTATAGCGCTGGTGTTTAATTGTCCTTCATTTTGTTCTGTTCCATTTTTTCCATCTTCATTTTCCTTACCCACTTTAAGTTTTTCCTTGATAGATTCCTTGAGCTCATTTTTTCCTTTTTCGTCAAAAATGATTCTCCTAAAATGGGACGCCAGGACGCCTTGGAATTTCCTTTCGGTTCCACTGAAGGTTAGCTCTTTGATTTGGTCATTGATGTCGCTACTTATGAGGACGTATTTAAATTGTTGGTGAACGCACTGGAGTATGTCGTCTGCCATGTTGAAGGGGAGGAGGAGGAGGACAGATTGTTCGGTTTTTTTTCCCTTGTTGCTTAGTGCAGCGTGCAAGTGTACGATTAGCAAGTGTGAGCGGTATATGTGTGTGGGGCGGGGGCGACGAGAAGTGCACAGGAGAGGGAGTACATGCGTATTGATCTAGATGCACCCACTTTATGTCGTGTGAGCATCTCTACATATGGATGATCAGTTGGTGGGTCTGACAATTTGAATGCGCGGCGCTGTTGGTGGGTGAAGTTTGGGAAATCGAAGAAAAAAAAAAAAAAAAAAAAAAAAAAATGGTTCAGTAGAAATATTTTCTTTCCCCTGTTATAGAATGTTTCAAACTTTGGGATCTACCTTTTGTGCAAACCGATGGAGCGGAAAATCATTCCTTGGAAGTATTCTCATCAAAAAAGATGACACTGAATAACTTTTTAATTTAAAAAAATATATATATATTCTTTTTCGCAAGTGGCTATTGTTTAAGAAGCGGCAAATTTGTATGTATCACAATTATGCAGGTAAGCGTATGTATAAAAACGCCTCACGAGGACAATAACGGGACTGCGCACCACGCCGTTGCTTTTTCAGTTGTTCTTGTTCCCCCGTTTGACGACAGCGAGCCTGACAACACAACAAACTGGTGGGGGTGGAAGTAGCGAACCACAATTGGATACAAATTTAAGCGAGACATGGAAAACAAGGAAATGGGAATTTTCTCCTCAGGTGTTCATTTTTAAAAAGTAGGACTATGCCAATTTCGCGTCGGTGAAAATTATATGGAGATGATTTTTAAAATGCACGTACATGTTATCATTTTGTAGAGGCGCGTGGCACGCTGGTTTCTGTTTTGTAGGACAATCTTTGTATTTTCTCCCTTGGCGTAGGGAGGCAGTCGCCCCCTTTTTTCTGTTCTGAAGATGTTGGCGGAGAACAGTGCCTTTTTTTGCATTTCAAAACTGCATCTGCGGGTTATTGTTATTCTTAAGGTTGAAGCTGCGAGGTCATTTTTTTACTGCCACGAAATGATCAAACGCAGGGGGGGGGGCAGTATTTGCCCTTCGCGCAACGCTCCACATATGTGTTACGTATGGAATAAAATATACACAAATTTGGAGATGCAAAAATTGTAGGCCAATCTGCATGCGCAGGCGAAGTGTGCTGCTAAGGGGGTATAATGCACGCTGTGTTTTATGGCCCATTTTAGGGGGCAACCGGTTTGGTTTTATCACTGCAGATATACATGTGTACAGGAATTATGTGTTTTTTTTTTTTTTTTTTATGCTTGGCCCAATTATGGCAACAGAGCAACAAGCATTTTCTGTGGTTGACGTTTTATAAAATTATGGACAACATATTAAATGCAAATAGCTACAGGGGGGGGGAAGAAGAACAAAAGTGGGTTTGGGTGAAACGAAACAAGCAAACAAGTGTGGAGTCATATTTTTTTTTAATGTCAAAAGGGGGAGAAAAGCACAGCAATGGGCATAGCTAGTTAACGAATTTGCCGCATTACTGTGTGTACATTTTTTTTTGGGGGGGTATAAAATTGCACTTTGAAAAACGTAAAAAAAAAAAAAATTCATACAAGCGAATGTGTACCATATGTTGTTGCATATATATATATAGGAGAGAATTATCATCCCGAGCGCTTTGGCACGCGGAGGGGAAAAACACAAATGGCTAAGTTTATAAGTACAAAGAAGGGGAGAAGGGGATGCCGCGTCGTAGCTTTTTGGTCGCCTCTGTCAAAATCTCACACATACTGTCGTTGTTGATTCCTCTAAACGCGCAGATCATTTGTCTGAGCAGTTCGTCCAGGCGCCTGCGTAGTTGGGAGGTGGGGGGGAAATAAATGAATGGGAGGGGGTATGGACGTATAAAATATGGCGCAAATATGTGTGCACTTTTTTGTATGGCGCCCTTTTTATAGGAACATTTATGTGTACGTTTTTTTTGAGCATGCCAGGTGTTCTCCCTCAGGCACACGACTTACCTGAGCGTGCGAATGATGGACCCCTCATATATCTGGGAGTCGGTAAGAATTTCCATGAAGGAGTATCCGCGCACCCACTGCAAGACGATGGGCATGATGGCGGACTTGAACTTGTCCAGGTAGTCTTTCAAATTCATATTCATTCCACATTCGTTCATTTTATTCGAAACATGAGTAGCGGTTTTGATAATCTGTTCGTACCCCTCCACAAGCACTGGGTCGTTGATGGCGATTTCTTTGTTTGAGGATTCATCATACACAAAGCAGGAGAGAAAGGCACATATGTAGTCGTAGCTGTACTTACTAAAAAAATTGGAGAAGAATAACTCCGAGATAACTAATTCGTCCACACTTAGGATGGCACTGGCGATTTGTCCTTTCATGGTGACGACATAGCTTTTTTCTTCACTGATGGGGAAGTCTCTTCTTTCTCCCTGTCCTTTGCTGCGTCCGTTTTGGTGGGTCTGCTCATGTTCTGCTTTAACTTCTTCCAATTCGACATTCTCCAGGTTGACTTCCTGACCGCTTGCCTCCTGCTGCGCGCCCTCCGTTTCCAAGTGGTGCGCAATTTCAATATAATTCAAACCCTGAAGGAGGACAAGCATATTTTTGAGTTCCTTCTTTAAGACTATGAATCGGCATTTTTCTATGCTTGCCTCTAAAAGGTTTTTCTCAAATTGTAAAGCGACATACATATTATACAGTTGATAATACTTGTGCAAATTTGGACTGTTGAGTAATTTATTTTTACTTAACATATGTTCGTGGTAGTTAATATTTTTTACAACTTTAAGAAATGCTTCATCTTTGATTTCCATCTGGTGTGGGTTAATGACTGGTATGTTTTTTTCTCCTTTGAGGCAGGTCACCATAGTGTTATACTTCATTTTGGCGCTCATAATTTGCTCTTCATTTTTTTTATCAAATGGTTTGTCTAGGTTTAAGACGACCGCTGAGATTTGGTAGATGCACTTGATGTTAAAGGTGATGAGCTTCCATTTGGCTTTGATTCTGTCGCTGGCTGGTGCGAATTCCTTTTGCGCGTTTTCTTCTTCGTCCTCTTCCTCTTCCTCTTCGTTGTCAATGTGGGCGAGTTTCCTTTTTCTGTTTTGGCTGTAGGGTACTAGGCAGTCCACGAGCAGCACTTCGCCATCAGCCGCATTGCCCGCATTAGCGGGGTTAGCGGCGTTAGTGGGGTTTGCCGCGCTTGTGCTTCTGAAGGTGTTGTTTCGACCAGCGGTGCGGCCCCCGTTCGCTCGCTCCACAACCTTTCCCTCAATGCATATGGCCCAACCCCACCTTAAGTCGTCTTCCACGAGGTAGAGCAGTCTGCCCATGGCCAAGTAGGGGGTGATATTTTTCCTGGCAGTCAGTATAGACCTGTACGTTTCGCCAAACTCGATCAGTTTGTTTCTTAATATGTAGTAATTGGAAATGCAGGAGAAAACCGTATTGTACTTTTTGAGCTGATCATTGATGATGGAGTTTTCCTCGTTGAGCGTGGCGATCGTGTCGCTGCACCCGACCTGGACGCAGTGTTCTCCGTAGGTGCCATTCATCTCGTCCATACCCATTTCCGCTTCCACTCCTGTGGGTACATTTGTCGCGTTTCCATTTTGGTCGCCATGTGGGGTGTCCCCCAATTGAGTCACACTCATCTCCTTTCCTCCCGCCCCAGAGATGGACTCATAATTATGATTCATAATTTTCTTCAAGAGATTTTCTTTGGTGATCTCCTGGTCATGCTTATCCAGGTAGACATTAGTTAGCTGATTAAAAATTTCTTTAATTTTTTGTTCCACTTTTTTTTTGGCCAGAATTTTTTGGAAGAGGTTTTTCTTCATTTGGTATTGAATGAAGGATCTCTCGATCATAAACTCAGGAGTAATTCCTTCTATTCTGAGTAGATTTAAAATCATATTATAGCCCAAGTGGAACTGACTAACTAATCTGTTGGCTTCCCCAACGAATAATTTTTCCGCCTCTCTCCAGTGTAGTGGGCTATCTAACATAATGATAACGATACCTCTATCGTCTAACCCACGTCTTCCAGCTCTGCCAGCCATTTGAATATATTCACCCGATGTTATTAACCGTTTTTCTACTCCATCAAATTTTTTCAAGGATGTAAAAACGACTGTTTTGGCTGGCATGTTAATTCCCATGGAGAAAGTTTCTGTACTGAATAAAACTTTGAGCAAAGATTCTTGAAACATAATTTCAATTATTTCTTTAATGATGGGTAGTAGGCCACCATGATGTATTCCTATACCTCTTAAAAGGAGGGGAAGAATAAATTGTACCTGCGGTAAAGCCCTATCATCATCAGCTAAAATTTGAATGGCGTTTTCGTATAACTCTTTTATGACTTCCTTTTCTGTGTCGTCGGTTAGATCTACTTTATGCATGGTAGTAGCATTTATTTCGCATTCCTTTTTTGAAAATGCAAAAATGATAAGAGGGGTATAATTACGAGAGTGACACATTTGTACAATTTTTTCAATATCATGAGCATTTTTCTTTCCCCTTTTGTTATGCTTATTAATACCATTCTGGTGTTGATTATCTTCAGACATGTTATTTTTTTCCTTTATAGCATTTACTGCTTTAATAAAATTATTTTTTTTAAAATCTTTATTTTCATCGCATATGAGAAAAACGCTTTCACTAGAAGTTGGGTAAATATAATGTTGGAGAGGAGTAGGTCGATAATCTGTGTAGACAATGTGACATGCTTGGGTTTTGATACTGCTTACCCATTCTGCAAACTGAATCCCATTTGGAATGGTTGCACTTAGGAAAATAAATCTCACCATGAGTGGTAGTAAAATGATGGTTTCTTCCCATATGACTCCTCTATCTCTATCTCGCATGTAATGAATTTCATCAAAAATGACCCACTTTACTTCTTTGGTTAAGGAAGAGCCTCTATACAACATGGATCTCAGAATTTCTGTCGTCATGACGATGATGGAAGCATCCGGATTGATGGAAATATCTCCTGTGATCAATCCAACGTCTTTAAATTCTTCACTGAGGTCTCTGTACTTTTGATTACTTAATGCTTTTATAGGGCTTGTGTAAATAACTCTTTGTTTATCCCTTAACCCTAGAGCGATGGCGTATTCTGCAATGACCGTTTTTCCTGCTGAGGTGTGTGCTGATACGAGTACGCTTTCATTTCGCTCTAAACATTCAATGGACTTTTTTTGGAAGGTGTCTAATTCAAATTTGTACGTTCTGGCTGGTGTGAGAGTTTCACTGAGTTTGTTGTGGACGTAGCTCTTTGGTCTGATGCACTTGTGAATACAATTGACGTCACTGCGGAACTCCTCCAACACAAGTACATCATCATTGTTTATCGTTTTGCTATTTTCTATTAGTGTTTCTTCTACAGGTCCGTTTTCGTCGGCGTGTTTTTCGCCCTTTCTTCCATCTTGTTGTTGATTCAACTTCCTCACTTTGGTGCCTGCATTTCTGGTGGTGCTGTCCATAATTTGTACGTCGTTGTATATTTCTTCCTTGATTTTGTTTTGCACCTTTTGGTCCCTCTTTGTGCACGAAATGAGGTTTTCCACGTTGATTTGTGGGGTCCCCAGGGGGGCTGAAGAGGGTGCGCCCCGCGGCTGCTCATTCAATTCGGCTTCTACTTTATTTCCGCCTTGTACACCTGTCCCTGCATCACCCTCGCCGTGGTAGATACCCTTGTCGTTTTCCCCACCAGAGTGCATTTCTCCTCCAACTGTGCCCTTCTGTGTACGCATCTTACCGTGTGTCTCTTCGTTCACTTCACCCTGTGCATGGTTGTCCACAGGGACTCCATCATCCCCCCCCTTTTCACCAGTTTCATCTTTTGTGGAAATATTATCTACTATGTCATTTTCCTCAAATACGTTAAATAGGTCATCAATATTCCCGCCGGACATAATTATATATATAAATTGCGATTCAAACTTGGGGACTTTTTTTTTGGGGGGGGTTACAACTTTAGGGCGATGGGGTGTACTTTGTTTTTGTGAGTATGGTTTAGATTATTCCACGGACACATACTTTGTGCACCCAAATGTGGGGTGGTGGTGGGGTTACGTCTGTATCAACAAATGGGTAAATAAATGAGCCTTCCAAGTGACATACTTTAACTTTGTGTCGGGGAGAATAATTTCCCGTTCTTTCCTCCCCTACAATATACTGGGAAAGGAGAAAAAGTTAGAAGAAGCACAAATGTGATCTGAGCTGTGGGTCAGCTTCTTTAATCTTTCGCAGAATAAGAGGGAGGTTCAACTCCAGTGTAGTTTTGCTATTGTTTGTATTTTTTTTGAATACCAACTTGGTGGTAAAAAATGGGAAAATATTTTTTTTTTACGCGAAAAAGATGGTCTCTATATACAAAACAACATAGCTTTTATAAACATATTAAAAAAAAACAAAACAAAACAAAAAAGCGTTATTTTTCTCTATCCTTTTACCACAATCCCAGGCTTCATTTTTTATGTTATGGTATCGTGGCCCCCTGGGCGTATCCCGAGAATATGTAAAAATATGTATGCGCGTCGATTTATATAAACTTATACTAAAAATTACTGCGCGAATGGCCAATATTTTCCACGCGTATTATATTTTAGTGTACATGAGAGTTGCGGCCACATTGTTGGCCATTTTTTCCTTTTTTTTCGTTTCTGCCTCTTATGTTGGGCAGTTTGATGTTTCCACATGGACGCACCAAATTCCATGCGAGAATTTTTTTTTGTTCCTTCCATTCTTTTAGCTGGTATATAGACGATTGGGCAAAAAGGTAATGATGGGGGAATTTAGAGGCTAATATTTTTAAACACATTTACAGAAGCGCCTCCTCAGGGGCACAGTTTTTATTTTGCGAATTTTATAAGTATATTAAAAAACATTTCGAACAGAATATGCCTGGACTATTCGGCCACCCAAATGTTATTTTGCATTTCCATTGCATGAACCTTTTTGTTAGAGCAAATAAACACCTTTTTCTTTCATTTTTTTGTCCTTTTTTTATAAGCAGAGAGACAGACGTGGGTGAAATGCATACAATATGTACACGTTGTTACTCTGTCCGTTCTGTGTGCCCCTATCACAGTTAACTCGTGCGCACTTTGGAGGAACCGAACGAAACAGCAACACTTGTGTGGAAAAAAAGGTGTGGTATCGACCTTTTTGCTGATAATGGAAGGACACTTTGGGTGGTGCTTACCGTTATGCGCCTCTACATGAACGTGCGGCATACTAGCATTTCCCCCTTTGCATGCCTAACCATGGGGCACAAATTAAAATGAGTTTATTCCGCTTAGCTTGTTGTGGAAATTTGCACGAAAGACAGTGTCCTTAAGAAGGGTCACTGTATGTCGTTCATCAGACATTCCAGGCTGTAATAGGCGATCCAAATTTTGTGCATAAAAATTGTAGTAGCAACATTTATGTGTCTGTTCCTGTTAACACTGGACTCACATGAGTGCTGAAAGGGGGGGATAAAAGAATGTAACCCTTGATCAATAAATCATTTCCCTCATTGAGAATATTCCCCACTATGCGTATTCTGCTTATTCTCCTCTTTCGCGTATGCCTTTTGGGAAAAGGTATTTTTTTGCCAGCGCTGGGCTGCGTATGAGCAGGTGATAAAAACCAGGAAAGGTGTAAAAAAAGCAGAAAAAAAAAAAAAAAAAGGGGGACAAAAGACGGTTTGAAGTTGACCTTGACAATGTGCCTATATGTACATGGAACAAACCAGTTTCGGTACTTCCCTAGTTGAGCATTTTATTTTTTCCCCCTTTGCATTTGTGCGTACAGCAACAAGGGTGATTTTGTTAATGTTTCACAAAAAATGTGTCACATGACGGCGGCGATAAGTGTACAACAAATCTGAGTTGTTTGGCCTCTTTGAGGTTTTTCCTATACGAACGAATAAGCGTCCGTGGGTGTACACCCCATATTCGTTTTTAAGTTCATGTAATATCACCCCCGCCTTAGCGCTGTTTTAGCGAATTAGTGCAAGGCACGTGTGTTTGCTTGTGCATTTTTTTTTTTTTTTTTTTTTTTCCTTTCTTCTTTGCATAATTTTACGTAAGGTCTAGGTGTATGGGCATACAAGAGTATGCACATTGCGGGAACTCAGTCATGAGTGTTATGATTTTATTTTTTTTACGTTTCACGTTTTACGTTTTATAAATATTATTTTGTATTATATACAATATATTTTCCCCCTTTTTTTTCACCATTTTGCGCTTTCTTTGTGTTTCTACATTTGAGCATGTTCATTTTTGTACTCGTTCGTTTGTGCAAGTATGATTTTACATTTCCCTACTTTGCCTTCCCAATTTGCTTCTCCCATTTTGCTTTCCCAATTTGCTTTCCCACTCCTATGAGATGCCATTTTTTTCGTAAAAAACAAGCCATGCTGATTGTCACAGCTTCCCTTTAAAAACCGCGGTGAAGGGCACCACTTTGTGTTTGTTTAAAGATATGTGTACGTGTACGTGTTTATATAAATATATATGTATATATATAACTGTATGCATAGGCGTATGTATTTTTTTTTTTTTTTTGTAAAATTATTTGTATTACTGTGACAAGTGGAAAAAGAAAAAGAAAAAAAACAAAAAGAAAAACGAGAATACACACAAGAACGAGCGAGCTTTGTTTACCTCAGGTGGGGAAAGATTACCATGTTAGAAAAGTTTCATACCATTACACATTTGCATTATTCATCTGACCCCAGTGCGAAAGACATTTAAGCTGAAGAGTTGTTTCATGTTTGATGCATGAATGTGTGTGTGATGGGCGTTTATGCTTTGTGGGCACATGCAACCTCTTTTGTGTGTGCAACTGCCGCGTGAGCAACCGCTGTGTTAGCAACAACCGTATACGCAGAGCTGGTGTGGGGATATTTTCCCTTTTTTTGAACAGCGACAAAAGAGCGGAAAACCAAGTTGTAATTTCCCTCCCCCCTGCGTGATACACATTTTTCCCCGTATGAATGCGGAACGGCGTTGAGTAAACCTCGATTTTGTTTGTTTGTTTGTTTTTTTATTAAAAGAATTTTTTTGATTAGTTTTTGCGTTTGCAGCCTTTTCTTTTCCACATTCTTCTATCTTTATTTATTTATATATTTATATATATATTTTTTTTTATTGGAACGAATTCGCATTATGTGGACGTAAAGTAAATGAGTGTGTTTCTCTTATTTTTTGTGGAAAGCATATTTGAAACGTTCATAAAATTTAATGTTATTAGTTACACTACGGCTCGGCAATTGTGTGATTGCATTTTTGGATCAGCCATGTATGCTTGTGCGCAAGTACCTCGTTGTATCTCGTTGTACTTCGTTGTAACCTTTTGCATACGAGGTACATTCGTGCACACACGCAGGTGCGTACAAGTGTTCTTGTTCACGCGCATGTGCCCCTGTAGGTATATCTGTGAGCTTGTTTGTATCCATATACTTGCGTGAAATATGCATGCATATGTGTCTTTCCCACGTTGATATAATACATAAATGGGGAAGAAGAAAGTAACAACAAAAAAAAAATTGAAGTGCCTTTTTTTTTTTTTTTTTTTTATTATAGTACATACAGCAGTAGACTTCCCATGACGTAGTCGACAAAAAGATGAAAATAAAACAGCACAAAAAAAAAAAAAAAAAGTGAGGTATACATATTGAATGATTTAATCAAGGTGCTTTACACAAAATAGTAAAAGCAGATGGACAGAGAATAATATGAGTTGTGTGTTAAGTGCTTTTTTACACCTTTAGATAAATGCAGGACGCAAATGCATCCAGGTGTTTTTATTTTGCCATTCGAGTAAATGTCTTATTTTGCTTGAGTTCGCGTGTTTAGGAAATTTGAGGCAATTTTAAGGAAATTTTTTTTTTTTTTTTTTTTTTTTTCCTTCTTTTTTCATTTGCCTGCGCTTTTTATTTTAACACGTCAATTGCAGAGAAGACATAAAAATTAACGCAATTGTATAGCACCTATATGCTTTGTTTTCCTTTTTTTTTTTTTTTTTTTATTTTTACCAACTCGTTTATTGGAAAGGTTTTGCTTTTTTTTTCTTCACGCCCTTTTTGTGTCTCTCTGTGTAAAAGAATTTGTTATGTGTACGTATGCACATCAAGGCGTTCTTATCTACATGCATGCGTGCCATACATTTATATTAGCGATCTTATTGGATAATAATTGTGAATGGACAAGGAAAGCTTACCTTTTTTTTTTTTTATACTTTTTAAAGAGCGTATATTTCAGCCACATGTAATTCGTTTTTCCTTCCTTATTCACAGGAACAGTGTTCGTAGCAGTGATACGTATAGTAATTTTTTTTTTTATTTTTCAATTAATGTTATTAATATTTGTGGAACGAAGTGAGACGAACACGAATTCATATTATTTGATTAAATTAGTCATTGCCGTTGTGCATACCTCACTGTGGGCTTGCCTGTTATCGTATTAGGGCATCACCTGAGGGTACCACGCGGCATTGTACTTTATCGAGTTTGCGTCATCGAAATGGGAGGGTGACGAATGGTGTGTACACATTTGTATGCCTATATGCGCACGTTCGAACATACACAAACACACCAGCGCAAATAACGAAGAAGCTAATTCCCCTAAGTTTTGCAAAAAGAGACAAAAAAAAACATACACATATCAGTGGGCATATAATATTCTTTGCACGAATGGTCATTGGAAGAAGTGTGCTCCTTTTTGTGCTCCCCCCTTTTTTCATTGTGTTATATACACAATTTTTTTTTTTTTTCATAAGATAACACACCCACATATAGGGTACGCCTTGCGTACACCCGTCCCCCCTCTCCTCTCTCGTGCTTACATGTCCACCAATTTGATGATGTTTTAATTTTAGTTATTATTTTTTTTTTTTTTGTGTGTGAAAAAGTATGCGCATTGGAGGGAGAGAGGCAAGTGGCGCAGACGAGACCAAGAGAAACGAAGCGACAGTTTTGTTCCCGTACAGATATGAAATCAAAAGGCACGCTCGTGATCGAGGACACAAGACGCTAACGCAACGGCAGATAAAAAATTCAGCACGCTTTTAAAGAAGAGGAAGAATGAAATTTGCATGAACTACCATGATATCTGTTAACCCTAGTGGACGCTTATTTTTTCCCCCCATTACGTGGGCACATATATACGTATTCATGAATCAGGGCCTGAGCATTACCCCGTGCCTTTTTTTTTTTTTTGTGTAGTGATAAGGTGTGCGTGATAAAACTTTTGCTCGTTTCGTTCCCGAAGTTTTCTCTTCTTTGCCCGTTCACCACTTCTCCTGCCCACCACTTTACCATTTCTCCTTTTCTTAAATTTCCAAATTTCCCCGCATTTTTTAAATACACTAAAAGTATCGCCTCTCCGCCCGAGACAACTTTTCCATCTTTCCCCTTTTCGCCACTTCACACGAGAACAAGATGAGCGTCGGTGTGCCTGTGACCAAGTCCTTCAACAAATTGAAGAAGTATCCCTACGAGATAAACAAGTTTGATAGACGAGAGACGAACGAATATTTTTACCTGCCGGTCGATTGTCCACGTATGAAAAAATGTGATGATGCGTACTGTCCTTTAGCACACACGAAACTAGAAAAGATATTTCACCCCATCGTATACAAAACACAAGCATGTCAGATGGCAAAGGATGGAGCTTGTGATTATTTTCAGAAGTGTGCATTTTATCACGACTCGAATGATAAAAATGAGGCGCACTTGAATTGGACCATTTGGGAAAAAAAATGGAACAAGTGGAGAAACAACATCGATAGCATTTTGACTCATCACAATAAGAATGATAAGGAAATCAGGAGGAAGGTGGAAAGCATTTTGAAGATCCGTATGCCACACTTTAATTATAACTCCAATAAGAATGGTTTATTTTTGAACAAGAATGCATCGTTTTACTCCACGTGGTCGAACAGCAGTCAGGGTGGCGGTGTGAGCAGTGGTAACAAAATGAGTAATGTTAGCACTGGGCTTGGGAGCGGGTTGAATAATCTTTTGTGTAGTTCCATCAACGCATCCATCACACACTGCCCTACCACAATGTTTAACAGCCCTTGGAATTCCAAACAGTTGAGTAGTGTAAAGAAAAGTATAAAAAATAACAGTGATGGTAAAAGTTGCAGTAACAATAATGGTAGTTCTATATGGATAAATGAGCTGAGCGATTTAGGAACCCTAACTTACGACAAGACGACTGATATGAATACATCCTTTATGAACAAGAGCAACATGTACTATGATGACACTCTGAGCTACAATAGCAATACGACAGACTGTGGCCTAAATTTTGATATGCTGGATAACAATGCTTATAAGGTGGTTGAGTTTTGTTTCACTGATTACGAGAATAATAAGACGAAGGGTGGTTGGAGGGAGAATTGCGATGTGATGGGCGTTCAGGGGGTCAATTCTTTCTTCTCGCACGGTTTGAAGGGGCAGGAGGGGGAGACGAAGGCGGGGCTGTCCAACGTTGGTAAGGGAAGTGGAACGGTCGCTGGCGAAGGGAGTTGTGGTGCTGCCCAGGAGAGTAACCCGTTCCAGCAGCTCACCTACAACAAGGCTTGCGAATATTTTCCAAGTGTGGCAGACATGGCAAATGGAAAAGAGGGAGAAAATGATGAGGCATATGGAATGAACGCAAATGTATGCAACACGGCTCAGACAAATGTACACCATTTTAAGGACGAGCTGATAACAAGTATGGGTAGCAGCCCAGAAGGAAACTTCGACTTAATAGGTTCTAAATATTTTTCCAACAATTCAAATAATACTTCCATTTTTGAAAATTATGGAAATCTGTCCACCATATTTGATGCTAGTGAAAATAATAATAAGGCGAACAGCTTTGCGAACATGTCCTATTGTAAGACATTTGATAATCTGAGTTTTGGTGATACGTGTAGAAGTGGAGTTAACAATAGTTTCTTTACAAATGAGCATGTGGAGGAGGGACAGGGGTGTAAGGTTGATGTGGAGGATGGAGACGTGGGTGGAAGTGTAACTGGAGTCGTTGACACAGGGAGGGGTGAAATGACGGGGGTGAATAGGGACAAGGAATTAAAACAAGAACAGGGGGACAGAAAGGACAGTGTTACATTAACAGGGAACAACACAAAGGGGCAAAATAAAATGTCAAAGAAGAATAAAAATAAAAAAGGGGGAGATGCAAATTTGGCAAATAATAATGGAAGTAGGAACAGCAGTAATGCACTGAATGCAGGAAGCAATACCAGGACAAGTACCTTCAGCGAAATCCTTTGCGCGGGAAATAATGAAATGAAAAGTGAACTGAACGAGAAAAGGAAAAACAGCAAAAAGGAGAATCAGATGAGCAAAAATTGTAACAATGAACAGGATCCGGATGATAAGAAAAGTGGAAGTAGCAAATTTTTGAGTGCTGGGGAGAGGAACGATGAAGATTTTAGCAGCGCCGAACAGTCTTGTGTAGAGAGAGAGAAGGGGAAAAGTGTCAAGGGAAAGAATGGCGAAGGTCAAGGTGGAAAGAAGGGCAGCAACACGCCCAGTACGAACAAAAGTGGAAATAAGAATTCGAAGAAGGGCACAACGACGGAAAGTGCTAGTAATGGCGGCACACCCAGAGGTAGGAAGCAGGTCGAAAGCGATCATCGGGAGAGTGACCAGCGGGAAGGTACTGAACAGGAAAAGGGAGAGAGGGAACAAAAAAGCGGCAAGGAAGTTGAAGTCGGCAGCCACGCGAACGATCATGCCTTCAGAGACAAAGCTAGAAAGGATGGAAACGGGAGCGAGAGGAGTAGGAGCAGTGCAGTAAACGGAAGAGATGTTAGCGGTAAAGGGAGCAGTAGCTGTAGTGGGGTGACTTCCATGAATCAGGCGAAAATTACCTGTGAGGAATTGAGCGCTGCTGTATGCACTAGTTCTAGAGGGAACTTTGACTGGGCGCATAGGAACCAAGATACGGAGAATAAGAAACAGAATAATGTGGGTACAACGTTTAGTAGTTTAGGTGGTGTACAGAGTAGAGGTGTGTCCATTGACATTAACAATGGTGCTAACTCGTATCATGGCGTTATGCGAACATCCACGACGGAGTCCAGCGTGAATAATGATAACCATATGGAGGACAAGAGGCAGCTAGAGGAGAGCTGTGGCCAGACAATGAATTACTCCCACTGCACAGAAAATAGTGTGCCCTCGAAGGAACCAAGCGAGTTTGTCATTGCAAACAAGCAACTCGTGAAACATAAGGATAGTATGTTTTATAATTACGCGAGAGGTAGCATGGATAGCAAGTTGGCCGAGTTGGAAACGTTTGGGGGGAGAAATGGGGTAAGGGTAGTAGGCGACAACCTGTTTGGAAGGAAGAGAAACAACTCTGCGTTCATTTTGAAGGAGAGGGAGGATCAGTCGCGCATGTCGTTGCAGGGGGTGAGTGGCGGAATGGGAGATGACCTGGGCAGCATTTTTAACCTCGGTTTAAACATGGGGAACACATTCAGAGAGAGCCGGGGTTCTGCGTTCAAGGAGGGAAGAAGTTCTTCATTCAACGAGGGAAGGAGTTCTTCATTCAGCATGGGAGGGGGAAATCCATTTAGAGAAGAGAGAGGAAAGTCTTTTGGCGAAAACAACCTAGCAAACGACACGTACAGCAATTTTTTTATAAAAGAGGAAGCCTTCCACCCGGTGCATAATAAGCAGTTTGAGGAGGTCACAAAAACGAAAGAGTACAATACCAATGAGAAGGAAGTGAACGAGCCAATGGATTACACAAACAACTTGTTAAATATATTTCTCTCGTGTAATAGTATTAATGAGAATTTCGAATGCACCAATGAATCAGATAATAGGTTCACCGATTTTAAAGAGGACACGAATCTGTTTGGTCATAAAGAAAAGGAAGTGACACATGGAAGGGAATTTTTTAATTCTTCATCCCATAATTTTAACCCATTTGGAAATTACTACAATTTTTTGGGCCCTTCATGTTTACAGTGTAAGCACTACAAAAATGAAATAAAAAATTTAATGGTTCAGATAAAAATTTTAAGACAGGAGCTACTCAAATGCAAACAAATAATAATGGCGTCTGGGCTGAATGGAGGTAATGATAATAAAATGAATCCTTGTAATTACAACTGGACGAACACAAAGAGTTTGTCCGATATGTACGAGAAGAAGAATTTTGTGTCTTCCATCGAGGCGAATGATTGATTGAGCCACACAAAAGTAATGAGACACATGTAACAGCATTTTTCTCCAGCAGCGGAGGATACCCCGTCCCCAGGACAACATATATAAAAACACAATTTTTTGTGAGTTTCCTTTTTTTTTTTTTTTTACGCCCCCTTATATTTTTCTAAGTGGTTGTGGAGCCACGCCCACACACATTCCATTTGAAATTGAAAGAGGAATTAAGTCCTTTTCCCTATTTGGGTGTCTGTCTAGACGACGGCACTGATAATTGAAGAGTACAGAAAAAAAGTACACCATATTGAGTTCCCTCTCTATGCTCTGAACAGATTTGAAGAATTGGTTATTTGCCAATTATGTATTGACGTAATTTGCTTTAGTATTTTTATTTTTTCAAAATGGTAGAAAGAGTATTTGGGCACAATGCCTCGTGGGAGAATGCACATCTGTACAATATACATAAATATGTATACGTATGTGTATACCCGCATGTGTATATGCCCATGTGTATACTCGCATGTGTATACCCGAATGTGTATACCCGAATGTGTATACCCGCATGTGTATACCCGAATGTGTATACCCGCATGTGTATACCCGTATGTGTATACCCGTATGTGTATTTTTTTTTTTTTTTTTTTTTTTTTTTTTCTTTCCCTTTTTAATGTAAATATGAAGGTTTGTGAACCTAATGCTCATTTTATTTTTTTTTATATTTTTGAAGCACTTCAGTTGAGACGCACGCGCTGCAGCTTCACGCCTTCGTGTATCTGGAGGGGAGAGGCTTTCATGCGTGCTTGCGTACGTGCGCATGTGACACGGCGTGCGTTGTTAAAGTAGCACCCAGGGAGACCACTTTGTACATTTGTGTACATTTTTTTTTTTTTTTTTTTTTGCGTTTACAGCGCATTTTTGCGGCTCTTTTCAACCTTCTACATGCTCTGCACGTACTGCGCGTTTGGAGAGGCTTGATGAATTCCACACAGTTCATCCTTCCGCCGCCCCCCCTTCTGCATCCAAATGTACCACTACCTTTTTTATGCCCATTTTTGCACCCACCCACACACACACACAGAGTTTGCCCCATTTTTGAGATGTATTGTTTATTTGTGGAATTATTAAATTATTTTTGGACGCCAAAATGATGCGAACGCGTGTTTGGGGGGCATCTGTTCCCCTCCGCAGAAAAACACGCACGTGCCCCCGGATAAGGTCGACTATAGGTTCATTTGATTAATTTGTTTGTGATTTTATGTTTTTAGTTATATTAGAAAAATTAGAACAAACTCGAAAAATAAAAAAAGACCATTTTGCAACGATAAAATGAACTGTAGCGTGTTTGCACACACCAACCATTGAGTATTTTATGGACTGAAAAATTTGAAGCGTCCTGTGGGAGGGGTCCACTGGTAGACATTTCTAATCGGATGAGATACCATTAACATGCGGAGGGACACAAAAGAGTTGCCAGGACACACATAATGGAACTTATGTAACCCCTTTTTTGTGCGTGTTATAAAAAGCAGCCCTTTCTTCGAACCATTATATGAACTCTTGATCAGCTCCACATTTTTTTAATTATGGGTGTTTGCGCAAAGAAGCATGAGTGGTCATTTGGTGTGTGTGTGTATGTGGAGGTGTTGTAGCCATTGTACAGATGTTCCTACATTTCAATTTTACGCATTTGGCATTATTTAAATAGTTTTTTTTTTAGCTTAGTCTGTCCCTTTGTTCCTCTCTCTCTCAAGCAGCTATTAACATATGAACGTCGGACCAAATGGGCAGCCATTAAAAGCGCTATTCTTTTTATGTGCTGAACAAAATGGCACTCCGTTCAGAAATGAAACTCATACGAATGGAAGTTCTCCCCAGATGATATTGTTCCATGTTAATTCCGCAGATTAGATAGTGAAGTTGCAGGCACAGGGCTGTTGCATTGTTCAGGGTACATGTAAACCGTTGTGCACATATAGATACACCTACGCATAAGTGGGTTTATTTGTATACGTTTATTCGCGGGCCTGTGTACGAGAGTGAGACCACATTTCTCACGTCCCGCGGTCGAATGATAAGTATGCGAGATGGGAAACTATTTTGAATTTCTCTTTTATGAAAATTTTGCAATAAGGAGGTTCTTATGGGTGTTTACCTAAATCACGCTCACAGTAAAGCACTGGAAATTCATAGGTGCTCATAAAAAGGATATGAGTGAACAAAGCTGAATTAATTAACATGTCGCTGCATTGTTATTTTTTTTTTTTTATTCTCCTTTATTTCTTATTTTCCTATTTTCTTATTTTCTTATTTTATTACTATATTATTTTATTATTTTTTTTTTTGTTTGTTTTTTATTTTTTTTTTACGCGGACTTTACAAGTTTTTGAGCTGTTAAGGAATTACGCAAGGGAAAATATATCTTTCCTTTTTTCAATCCCATTTGCAAAATTTTGAATATGTAATTAGCTTTTGTTGAGGACGTAATTGAGAGGTGACTTGGAGCACCCTTGTGTTAGATGCGGTTTTCATGAAACATTAATTTGTGTACCATTGGCTCTACATTGAGTAAATTGTTTTCCACGCGTAATGACGCAGTAGTTCTATATGTGGGATTAATTAAGGGAAGGTGAAATGCCTCACCAATAGCGACGAAGAGAAGTCTTTTCCTTTTCACTAAAGAGTTGGAAATGGACGTGGCCGGTACATCCTTCTAGCAGTTCACCAGGTAGGCAACCGTATGTGTGAATATATATATGTGGCTACATGTTACCCATGTTAGTACAGCAAGGGAAAAAAAAAAAAAAAAAAAAAAAAATACATGTATTCATTTTTCAATGTATACAAATTTTTTTGTCATTGGAAAGTGCACAGACCAGTGAGGCACGGCGCTGTTTAAAACGTTTTATTGTTTGAGTACCGAGAGGAGCGAACGGGACGATCGAACGGGACGAGTGAAATGCTACCTGTTCTAATGTCAGAGGGTATATGGAGAGGGAACCTGTGTCGCGGTACAACGGGCGTGTTTGCATGTACATATGCATCTCGACAAATGAATACTTGTCGTGTGTAGAGGTGCACATTTTTTATATGTTTGCCTATACATGTGTAATTGAAATGTTACACATGGAGAGCACAAACATTTGGTCAAGTGATAATTCATTGACCAGAACATTAATTGCGTCGTACCTAAGATATGCTACTTCATTTTCCGTATTAATTTGAGCATAGCTTTTTTTTTTCTTCACTCGTGCGTGCGTGTGAGTGTTTGTGTGCATGTAGGAAACTTACTACATAAATATCTAATGTTTAATTTTATAAGAAAAGAACGCGAGTGAAGAAAAAATTATAAAAAATAATCACATGTAAGGTGAGGAAAATTTTCACATTTGTGTGTTAAAGTTTATGAGGGGAATTAAATTTATTAAAACGTGGCACCTTTGTGTGTTCTGCTGATAGGGACAGAGAGGGTCGCTGCGTTAAAGCGGCCAAGAGCTGGCAAGCACGCAGATAGATACCTTTTTAATAATGATGGTACTGGGATGGAGGAAAAGAAAGCGTCAATTGGGGAAGTATTGAGGGGCATGTGGAGTGCTATTTGTTCGGTGAAGAATTTGCAAATGTTGCCGAACAAAAGAGACACGAGGTGGGATGATAGAGGGTGTCCTTAATTTATCTCGCGGCATGGCGGGTGGGAGTGGTGGAAAATTTGTTCATGAGTTGTTCATAGTTTTTGTTGTACTGTTTAAGCCATATAGAGGGAATTTTTTTTTTTATTTTATGGCAAATTTAAAAAAAAAAAAAAAAAAGGGAAAACACGGCAAAATACACACAAACTGGTGAACCCCTTTTTAAATGGTGCTACCCACACCAGGTGTATTTATTATAAACTGCGTTTGTTCAGCTTTTAGTCGTTGCTTAGAACAAGGCTGCCAACTATGAGTGATGAGCACATAGAACCCGCTTAACCAGAGATGAGGGAAATTTTTTTGATTCAGTTAGCAACTACTTATTGTATTTTACATGTTTATGTGTATTTAACAAAGATTCACCAAGGGGGTAAATTACAAAGTTGCCCGTTTTACCTTTTAAGTGGAAAATAAGAGAAAAAAAAAAAGAAAAAAATGGTGAATTTTCCTACCCAAAGAGAGTTGTACGGATAAATGGGAAGATCTAAGGAGTACGCACGAAAAATGTGTACAATTGTATTGGTGTATATGTGAGGAATCGTGCAGTTGTCGTAATGTAGTGGTAGATCGGTCCAATTTTTTTTTTTTTTTTGTCAGAATGAGAACTGAAGAAGAGAGAAAAAAGGATAATATTATAGTAATTTTGCAACACACAGAATTATGGGTTACGTTTCCTTCTTGGATGATCCCGTGAATTTAAATTATCTCGTTTTCAAATGCGAATATATTTATTTTGGCTATATTATTTAAACGTTCTGGTAAAATTGGAGTGTTTTGGACTTGTTTGGGTATCGACTGCTAATTGTTCGGGGTGGTAAAAATGTGTGCGCGGCTCGAATAAATTATACATTATGTGAATTTTTTTTTTCTATGTATTCATTTTTTTTTTATGTTGTTTTTTCCCCCGTTGTAGATAGCAGTGTTTTTGGGTATACACATCTCTGGATTTGATTCATTCCTTTCGTTCAAGTATACTGCGGAAAGGAGTGGAGGATAGGAGGGGGCGATCCCTCTCAGTGGGGATTCATATTTGTTGTGCATATTATTTTTGTCACAGTTGGTGTGTAGCACGTCCATTGAATGGATTTGCACTAATCGGTTTTTTGTGTAATTTGCATCGTGTCACTTCCCCCCCCATGTTCTGTAGGTTCCCGCCCAGGGATAGGAGAAGTGCTAATTCAAGATGGAAGAGGACGTTGGTACTTATATACGCCGAGGGGCACGACGGGATTTTAAACGACAACGGTCTGTCGATAGTCCAAGTGGAAGAGATGTGCAAAAACAAAGACACAAATTTTTGTGATAAAATATATGGTTTATCCCTACATGACATGAGGGATCTATTTGTGGAGCTGACAAATTTTATCATGTACGCGGATTACGAAGAGCAGGTGAAAATGGAGAAAAAGATTTTCACATCCACACAGCGGGCATTAACATTTATGAAGCAGAATATAAAAAAAGAAACGGAAGAATTGGTCAACACAGCGAAGAAGTATATTGATGAGCTGTTCGGGAGTTATGACATTTTGAACAAACAGGAATGGGAGGATATATCTAAATTAAATTTATTTTTAGACCTGAATGGAGAGCAGGATGTGTTATTAATTAATGGAAGGCACATATTTTTTCACGTGATGAATGTGAAATTCCGGAGGATAATTCCTTTAAATACTCAGGACGTGTGGGACAATATTACAGAATTATATAAACATAACAAGAATATATTTGATCGTTATGAAAAGAAAATTGCTAAAATTGAAAAGGACATACAAACTTATTTAGGACATGGAGGGAATAGGTTTCCATTGAATTATACCCAGTGGAATAATAGCTACATTAATATTACCCAGAATGTAGCAGTGAGAGCTTTCTTGGATGATTTTTATAACTACTTTAGCAGATTAGAAAGGAAGATATTGTATCAAGGCAAGAGATGGGTAGAGGTAGATGTATCATTTTTGGATGGGACGCTAGAAGCGCTTATTAGTATTATAAAATCTACCATTGAACAGAAAACGGTGAAATTATTTTCTATGTTAAACAAAATATTTGAGGGAGATTTAAGATCCATTTTGGGTTTTTTTTCGCACTTATTTGATAAAGAGCGTAAGAAGAATAAATTGTTTTTAAAAAGTATTGAGAAGGAAAAGACGGGGGATGAGTATGACAATAATTTTTTATTCGATGTTGAATCGTTATATGTGGAAGAGAAAAAAGACATACAAAAGGCCTTATCCAAATTTAAGCATTTTATGAGAGTCAATCTTGGAATTGATATCAGCAGTACAAGTGTCCGTTTGCTTAAAAATAAAATAGAAGAGGAGGATGTGGAGGAACAGGAGAAGCAAATCATGAATATTTTCAGTATCATTGTTCATGAATTATTGTGTAGGAAAGAAGTTATTGAGTTTGTCGACCTTGTGAATTTGTTGAAGAAAAACGCCAAAACGTGTTTTTCCTATTTGAGAAATGTTTTGGGCTGTCTGACCCCCCCAAAGGACAATTGCTTATTTATAGAAACGAGGAAGTTGATTCCTGTGGTGTCCAAATGTACTGAAATTAGAGAAAAGAATAATTGCCATGTTAAACAAGATGACAGTGAGGAAAGTATTGTAGAGATAATGAAAGATATAAAGAATGCTTTTTTCAGGTATAGGATTGCTATTAAAATATTGTTGCTGCTGATTGAGGACCTCAAGGTGGCCAAGGAGCTTAACGGCGAATATGAAATGTTGGTCAAGGAGAAGGAAATGGCCAAGAAAGCATTTTTGGATAGTTGTGAGGACAGTGAGAACATGGAGGAAATTTACAAAAATATCATGCAGGAATGGAACAAAAAATTGGAGGCCAAGAACGTGGCCATGGACGCGAATAAAAACGCTATTGTATTTTACCTCTGCTTAATTAAGGAGTTCAAACTTGGTTAGATTTAACTTGTTAGAATTTTGATTTTGTCTTTGCGTGATCTCCTACATTGTGCGCGACGTGATCGCCTACATTGTCTGCGACGTCAACCCTTACCCCCTTACTATGGGTTTTATATTTTGCAACCCCCCTTTTATGAGCCCCAAATGTGGGTGGACAATGTGCAATTGTGCATTCCACCCGCACGGTGGGCCAATAAATATTACGGGTGCTGGTGAAGTAGGGGGAAAGCGGAAGACCACGTCTCTACTCAGAAGAGGTTCATTCTGCAGAACTCCCTGAAGGAGCATGTTCATCAGTGTCTGCTTAAATATGTTTATTTGTAAGGAGATGCGTTAACAACTACGCTGATTTGTGCGTGTACACTTAGCTAATTTATGTTGTGCATTGTGTGCATTACATATTTTTGTGTTGAGCATCATGTCTATTTCTTTTTTCCCTTATTAATTCCCCTGTTTTTTTTTCTTTCTCTCTTTCCTTCCCGCCTGCACACACACTGTACAGTTTTTATTAATTTTTTTTTTTTTTTTTTGCGTTTGTCACACCTCACTTATGTTTTGCCATTATTGGGAAAATATGACCATTCTGATGTCGGGCACTTTTCTCATTATGTCAATTCGCCGTTTTCTGGGGCGTCTTCTTTACCAAGAGGGTGAGGAGCGACGCGATCCTATAAGGTGTTTACTCAACTTAATTAAACATTTGAACTACGATGAGCATTCCTAAGTTATTTTATTTTATTAATTTCCCTCATCACTTCAATTGCGATCATGTGAGTGAAGTGACAAAATAAGGTGGGATAAACAAATTAAGTAAAGTGTGATTCAATTTATAGGTTGTATATTTTGTTAAGCCCAGTGGCAACATGGATAATGCAACTGTAGGAAAAATGGTTCGAAGAGGAAAAGTGGGCCTCGGACAAGGGAAGCAGCTAGCGAAACGGTGCGCAGTTTTTTTTTTTTTTTTTTAAAAGGTTATATAGCCATGTTAAAATTGTTTAATTGTTTCGTAGCATTATGATTAAAAAAAAAATTGAGACAATGTAGGAACCCTTTTACGTGTGAATAAATCTGTTTCGCTGTTTTTTTCCTTTCCAGTGTATCATCCCTTTTTTTCAATTGTGACATTTATGAGGATGTCTACTGAACATAAATGTGTGTGGAAGACACGTGTGAAATACTTTTTCTTTACAAAATCGGAAATTAATTGTAAGAGGATAAAGTTTTTCAAATGAATTAAAAACAAAGCTACATAAAATAGTTGTTTTACAAAATAAGGAAATAAAAAAAAAAAAGAAAAACTGGGCAATGTTTACGTAATATGTGGGATTAAATGAAAGATAGGAGCGGTGAGAAAAGACAAGCGGTGAAATAGTAAAAAGGCTATGTAGTAAAGACATCAATAAAGTCCAGACGGCATGGCTCTAACTTGGGTTAAAAATGGAGAAACGGAAATACAGAAATAAAGAAATTTAAAAACTTAAATTAAAAATAAATTGTTATCATACATATATATATAAGTGAAGCAGTACACAAAAATAAAGTACATATTTTTTTTTTTTAAAGGAGTCGCCAAGAAACAAAGACAACACAATACAAGTTGCATGGTCTTTATACACATACACAAAGGAATGTGAAAGGGACAAAATCACAGCATATATAATTCCGCATAAAAAAAAAAAAAAAATGTTGTAATTAAAATTGCAATTCAGTTATTTTTTTTTTTATAAATTGCACATTAGGTACTCGGTAAAAAAAAAATTTCATTATAAAAAAAAAATGACAATCAAATAGAATGCTCGCCATGGGCTCAATATGATACCACACGACTGCAAAGTGTACATTTTTTTTTTTTTTTTTTTTTTTTGCGTCAACGTTTACGAGATGCACACACATATGCGCACGCATATTTACACATGCACACGCCTGGCTTCTTTGTGATTATAGTAACGAATAAGATTGTTGCAATAAAAAAGCTGCAAGGAAAATATTAATTTTGACAAGGTATAAAATATTTCCCTCTTAATTATGATGAGGATTAGTGGAATGTATATATACACCATAGCCAGAATTTGAAAGCGCACAGGAAGCACGCGGGGAGGGATTTTTTTTTTCTTCTGTATGAGGCAAATTATCAAAAAGGATTTGGTCGTTCTGAGTGTGTACATTTCTGGTTAATGATAAAAGTACACACGCAGGTACGTACGATTAGGTAGATATATCTGCATTAATAAGGTGACAAGGGAAAAAAAAAAAAAAAAGAAGAAGCGCGTCTTGCGGATGTCCTGTTTCTTCTAGCTCTGGAAGAGACATACAAAAAGTTGTTTAACGGAAGGGGCGACAGAAGAATGCATATAACCCAACGGGTTAAATTTGAATTACAAATGGGGAGTGAGGATAAGTTATACTGTTAAGTCTATAAGAGTTATGTTCTGCATCAACGTTGGTCGCACAGGTTTAGCGACATGGGCTAGAGGAATATGTTCATGTTCATCTTTATACATAGCGGCAACTTTGAATACCTTGAAACTGTTTAGAGTAGCGTAGAGCGTGGTAAATACAATCGCGCATACCGCCCTAATTTCCTCGTCCTTGTTAGAGATAGAAACAGGTCCTCTTTTTTCTTGTATTGGTACTTATTTTTGTGCTTGTCCAAGGGGTTCACCCGGCCTGCTAGTTTTCCATTCTTTTTAATTTACATGGATCCGAAGTAATCTACCTTCCACAGATAAGCCTACAGTGGGATAAAAAACTAAGGTACATTTTTTGAATTATATGATGAGGAATATGTAAAAAAATATATATGTGGGTAGGGCACACTCGGTGCGACGGGGGGTACAAAAGACGAGTTCTCAACTGTGTATTATAAACGCATAGGCATACACGGGGTTAGGAACAAGCATGTGGGGTACATGCACCCCGCAGTTTGGTGAACTATATTCTAATCACTCATTTTGTATATTACGTTTCTTCCTAGCCTGTGGCCAAAATACACAAGAGCGTTAAAAATCAGCACTGCAATCACGACGGCCGGAATGTAGTCGCGTTGGCATGCCTTTTGTGAATGAGCTACACATGATTTAAAGGCTTCCTTAACAATGGTCTCAATTTGTGGGGCATAGCTGTTAAAGTCAATATATTCAGGGGTTCCCATTTTGTCATGTTATACATATATATGTGTAACGTATATAATAATAGTAAGTGCCCGTACGTTACGTTTGAGCGATGGGTAAACTAATATGTACGGCGTTGCGCGCTACACCTCAGCTAACTAAAATTTGTTTTATGTTTTGCTTATAATAATACAAAAAAAAAAAAAAAAGTACACTACGTCGTTATATAGCGATTAGTTATTCAAACGGGTAAGCGTAAAAAATGATAATACCAAATTAATTTATTTTAAATGCGTCCCCTTCCTTTTGTTACATTATCAGAAAAATATATTACTTATTCGGAAATTAATTAAATATTTTCAAAAATATTACTTTTTTTTTTTTTTTTTCGTAGGAAAATAAAGAAAATAAAAAAAAAAAAAAAAGTAAAATATGTATAAATTTAGATAAAAGTATTTGTATAATAAACAACAAATAATAAAATTCTTGAAACTTTTAGAATTGTGATTCTTGTTGTTTCATTTTTACATATTTAATTAATTCTTTTTCTATTCGTCCATATTCTTTCAAATGCATTAATTTCTTTTTATTCTTCAATTTGACATAGAAAAAATATTTTATTTTTTGCGAATACGTTCTTTTTTTTTTTTCCTTTTAATTTTTAGAAAAACGGCTACCAAACGGGAAAATCCGTACATTTGTGCAGTGAGAAATATGAAAGAGAGAAAATAATAAATATGTTCAGAGCATAATTCTAAAAATAAAAGTTAAAGAATTTTATAATATACGCATAATCGCGTGCAAATCATAAACCGCAATAAAAACAATTTTATAAATGTAGCAATTAATTATCCCAATTTCAATTTTATCGTTAATTTTACCCCAAAAAAAAAAAAAAAAAAAAAAAAAAAAATTGCGAAAAAAATGACTGAGTGTTTTTATTAGGGGAAAATATCAGAGGAACCCTTTTTTTCATTTTTGCATACAAAATGGGACTAGGAAGAATAATGTATAAATTATTACATAAGGGATGTTCACGTCTATGTATATATGTATTAAACGCACACGTATATTTGTATGCATAATTAAATATATATTAAAGCTAAAACCAATTCTTTAGGGATATATTTTTTTTTTTATGTAACATAAAGGGGTAAATACATTGGGTGGGGGCAAATTGTCATATGAAGGGATGATGCTCACTTTGAGTTCAAAAATTGTATGTCTGAGATAATTTACAAGGGTGAGAAAAAAAAAAAAAAAAAAAAAAAAAAAAAAAAGAGGGAAATACATATATAAAAGGATCAAATCCCGGTGGTGCATAAAAATAAATAAAATAGAAATACACAATAAAAAAAAAAAAATAAATAAATATAATAGTAATCCCAAAGGAGGATGATGCAACATGGTAAAAATAATAAAACTACCATATACATATGCATAAATATTATATATTAATATATTTACCTATATTTTCCTATTAGTTCTGTCCCCTCCCCCCAAAAAATGCTCTCTTTTTTTTTTTTTTTTTTTTTCTCTTTGCGTATATTGTGGGAGAATGTGTTTCACAAAAAAATATAATAATTAAAAACGACCAACTGCTGAACGCATGTGGTAGGAAAACAAAAAAAAAGAAAGAAAAAAGGACAAATTTGTGCTGTAGCAACATACTTTTATATGTTAATAATTTGATGTTTGCTTCCTTTGTTAAGAAAACACAGGAGGGGTATTTTTTACTTTCATGTAGTCTGAAATATAAAATTCCTTTGCCCCAAAATGTTTCCCCCCCCTTTTTTTATTTCTTAACAAAAGGAATGTGCTAAATTGTAGGTGGACACATATATATTTACCTTGCCCCCAATAGATGAAATTTCGAAATACATAATTTTGACATATGGACGTAGTAAATTAAAAAGTTACCGTTTGGACTTGCTTCATTATGCGGACTACATACATTTTGTTATGTGTCTTGCCGCATGGCATGCCTTGTGGACCAATGCACAAATAAGGTTATGATTAAATATTTTAATTTTTTCAGTGCATGTACAAAAGGTGGGGGGAGGAAAAAAAAAAAAAAGGGCTTTGTGTGGTTGAACGACATATGTGTGTATATGTAAAGTGTGCGGCCACACCCTACATTGGGGTATCCTCTCTCTTAAGCTAAAAATTGCTCCACTGTTAATTTAGCATAAAATGATTTCTGATAATTATTCGCTTGAAAAATGGTACCACGAAAATGTGAGATGTGTTTCTTTTGTCATTATGGCATGGACTCTTTTTAAGCGAAAATTTCAATCACATCCGTTTTATGCCCTCATTGAACAGGAAGTTTTTTGGGGGGAGTATCGTACAGAGGATAATGCAGTAGGTTATTGCTCGTGCTGGTAGTAGTGTAATTATTTTGTACATTCTTACGCCGCACCCACGTCATAGGCATACAACTTTCATTAAAAGTATATGAAAAAAAAAAAAAAACACTTTGTAAAACGTGTAATAATTGTCTTACTTGTCTACATTAACACTTGTATTGCTACTAAAATAGATGAAAAATTTTTCTCAAAATTATTAACTCCTGATTTAAAGTAGTTAAGAAAAAAAGTTTGTTTGTATACCCTTTTTGGCAGAATAATTTGTTTAAAATTTTTTCGTCATTACCCCTGCGGGCGGAGTTACGCGGATGTAATTTATGCGTATATAAAAATATTTCCTTTACTGGGAATCACTGCACACTTTTTTTTTTTTCCCCCACTTTGAGGAATTCTTCATTGTGTCGAATAAAGGAAAAGAAAAAGGATATTATAAAAGTTAATGCTAACAGAAAAAATTTACCTTTTACGTTATTATATAATGTTCATCATTTTACGTTTTAATTTGTCTTTTTTTTTTTTTTTTTTTTTTTTCCTGACTGGCAAAAATGCCAAAGTTGCATTTGCGCTATTTGCTAATTTGTCTACAACCCCGATTGAGCACTTTTAAATTGAATTGTAAAATAGATCACATAAAGATTTTTCCCAACCAATCAACTCTTTATAATTAACATTATGTACACTTATCTTACTCTATATATAACTGATTCTTGAGCATTTTTTAGTTGTATCGATTGACTCAAACTGGTGCAGTGACTTACATTTTTGTCGCACCCAATTATTTGGTGTGTACATCCCATTCCAACATCCCCTTTTACATTTTTGCAAAAAAAAAAAAAAAAAAAAAAAAAAAAAAAAAAAAAAAAAAAAAAAAATA